CTTTTTCCCTGTGCCATTCCACATTATTACAAATAACTTCATTTYTGGACATTTATGGTTTGATTTCTTTGTATGTATGGATCACTTGGGTTGTTACTGACATCTGGTGAAAATTTCATGTCATTAGCACCTCTAGTAAYGTATTTACTGAGAAAAATGTTGACGTGTTCAATACTTATTTTACCCGCTGTATAATAAAAGTCTTCAATGCATTATGTAATAACGTTATTACATTTTGCATCAATTATTGCATAATGCGGTTTTAGCATGAGTTTATTACATTTTGAAGCCTGATTTTATTACATTATTACATAATGCGTTATTACAAAATGAGGTCTTACATGGACTTTCTGAGTGAAGTTTGCATGTTCTCTTTGTGTTTGTGTGGGTTTTCTCCAGTTATTCTGGTTTCCTTCCAAAAACAAAAAAACATGCATATTTGGTTGCCTTCAGGCCCAGGTTTCCCTTGCAAACGACAGCTGTGATCTCAATGGGATTTGCCTGTGTAAATTAAAGATTTGTTTACCCCATGAAGGATTAAATCTATTTTAATGAGAATGTTTCTTTTTGGAAAAGCAACACTTCCATCTATATATCCTGTGAGGGTCACTAAATTATTCAAACTGATTAAAAAGTGTCTAAATCCTCTGTATGCTCTCCTCTGTGACCAAGCATCAACCCAACTAGACATCTATGGTAGATGTTGAACCGCTGTCCTCAAAGATTATTATCATAACACACCAAATGTTGCATTAATTTTCAATGAATTTCATTTTTTTTCAACAACTTCAGCACCCCAAGGTTTTTCCTGCAGCACATCCTGACTCAGCACTTTCCTGATACACTGTATTTGTATTCAGCTACACAGTACACCGATGTGGACTCAGCTGTGTCCTGTTTGGACTGTACCTTACAAACTCTGGCCACCCGGGATATCCAGGGATCAGCTTCTGGGCTGGGGTCTGAGTTCTTTTCACGGAAAAATATGTAGATTTTCTCGTTCACGGGGTCRTCCACGCGCTTTACCCAGTTTGCAGAAATGAACGTGGGCTCTGTGAAAAAATGTCTCGTTCACTTATCTCTCCATGACTTTGACTGAATAATGGTGAGAGCAAAGCAAAACAAACAATGAGGAGTAACAAGAGGAGGGTTGATCATGTTGAACACCAACTTTAATTTATGTTTCTCTAACAAAACAAAGCATGGGAGTCTACTACTACCTTTTTTTAAAATGCTAGTTTTTATTTGAGAGCAGCCCTCCTCAAACTCATAAGTGCCTGCATGCGCACAGAATGTGGTCCGCTTCTTTTAAAACATCATGTTTGAACTTTCACCGATGCTTCAGTTTGCACTGATCTCTTGACTCATCTTTTTCCTGTGCATTCAGGAACATAATTCTCTTGTAATTAGAAAGTGCAAATTGAAYAGGTGGGAAAAGGACCAGCTAATAGCGGAAGAGAGACAGGACACTGATGTCACTGAGCATTGTGTGATGTAAAATGAGTGTATCGTTGCTGCACTTCTTGTAGATCGATGTAATGCATAATAGATGTAATATTACATTTTCAGTGTTACACAGTACATGTTCTTCATGCGGAGAAATGTCCATTCAATTCTCGGTTTGCCCTGCACATCACAGTTATGATGAACTCTCAGGGGAGCACTCCTCTTACACAATAAATGACCTGCAGCTATTCTTACCTGAAACCCAGTAGTCATACATCCATACGTTTGTTCTGCCTCCAGCTTTCCTCCTGAACTGCAGTGAACTTCCATCAGCATCTAAAGGTGCTGCTGCGTATAAATCCCCATCTAGAAAAACCGGAGCGCAACACATAAAATAATGAATGAAAACGCCCAATCTGTTTTTATGCGTGACTTAAATCAAAGTGAAACTTTAAAAACTTGGTCTACATAAGAAGCTGCTTTTATCGTACCTACTGTGAGCGACAAGGAGTTCTGTGTGTGGACAAATGGAGAGATGCCAGTCCCCTCGTAACTCTCCACTATCTCATTTGATTGATTGCTTACAGAGGGGAACTATAATGACACAGAACAAAGCCAAGTCAAAAAGACTGTAAGGAAAATCTGTTAACACGCCCTATTTAATTATACAGCGGGGCACTTCATTAAAGTTTAATTAGAACTAGACCCAGGCGACTCTTTAATCAGCTTTGCCCGTCTGACCACTGAACCAACAAGCCATCAGAACTGTTGTGTCTCAAAGACGCAGTGTAAATTTGTAATTACACTGTAAATATATATTCACTGAGGTATATACTTACAAGCTTCCAGCACTTTGGTTTGAGCCCATTGGTTCCACATACAAACACGCTGTCCTGAAACTTCTCAATTACTGTAATTACATTTTTACACCGACCCTAAAATCATAGAGATTTCGTCATCAGCCACAACTGGGTTTAAATTGGATCTTGTTTAATTTTGTTTCTGTTGCAATCACTCACCTCATGACCCAGCTGCTGCCCTGTTGTTTCCAGTGGATATTGCTATTTCAATGAAATCAATTAAAACATATTTTTCCATCTTATTAACCATTATAACAACAAATAGTTTTAGAAATTATACAAACAAATAAACATTTGGATGTGCCTACAGTGACAATAATAACTTAAGACTGAAAGCCTACTGTCCACAAAATTAAAGTCTTTTAAACCCACACTACTCTTATAAGTTTTATGTACTCAATCCATCCCTTCTTTCTTTAAAAAAAAACAATTTGTTGCATTCTGATAGAAGAAGTGGTCCTCTTCATTTTGAAGATAAAGACAATTTCGAATCACTCGTCTATTGTGGGTGTTAGATGCCACTTAAGGTAAAGTTAAGCTGATCCTGACACAATCTGAAATGCATCAGTCTAATTAATACCCTATACCTTCTGTGGTGGAACTAATACTTTTATGTTTAAGCTAGTAATTCATGACATCCTTTAATGACCTAGGGTTTCATGACATGCTGTTCATCTGCAGACAGAATGATTAAAGTCAGAACAAGATTTGCTAACAACAGTCATTCTTAGATATCACTTGTGTTTATCTTTGTGTTTTCCATTGACCTTGTATCAAATCTTGCTAAGATGACATAATGGTTTTTGTTAATATATATATGAGGCCTCTCGAGACACAGTGAGTAGTGTAGAGAGAAGCAGAGGTGCAGAGACAGGGCAGGTTGTTCTCTGTGTTTCCTGTTGTTGCAATAAAACTCAGCTGATCATCTCCTTCATTCTTGGACCACATATTTCTGTCTTTGTTAAATAAATATCACCATAATACCTTCTGATGGTCATCTGACTGAATTTACAGTTTTTGTATAGTACTTTTTTATATTTACATATTATAGCTGTTTCTACTTATCTTGATTTGATTCTTCTGAGTACTCTTGTGTGCTGCTTTTGTCATCACTTTAATTTTACTGCAGTGGGTGCAGTGCAGCACTTCAGCAGAGAGCTGTATGTAAATGTGCTTTATATATAAAATATAGCTGCTTGGAAAGCTGAGCTTTTTTTAACAACCTGCCAGAACAGACACAAAGCAATCGAACAGGTTTGTGACAGCAGTCTACAGTGCCAAATGCATTAATTAGATGCACTTTCTCTATCTAAAAAAAACAGCTGAGAAATCAACCTGAGAGCAACACAAACAAATCACAAAGAATGACTCACATAAGATTAAAAAAAACTTACTTCTAAGATGTGATAGTTATTTGCATCCAGTTTTAAAACAAAGTCTGTTCCTCCAACATAAAGCTCATCTGTGTCCTCCTGGTATAAGAACACGCTGTGGTTTTGGTGGAGAACGTATTCATATTCACCATTAATTAAACCTGAGGTAAAAGAGAAATAACACTAAAAATTCAAACAGCCTAATAATTTATGTCATGAGCAAATAACCAGAAGAAAATATATGAATCTCATTTTTCTCTTTTAGATAAAAACAAAAGCGAATAATTGTCATTTTGATGAAGACATTCATCTACCTTTGCTCAGAAGTCTGGGTGTTTTAGTAGAGCCAAGTGTCGGCGTTTCCTTCAAGTCCACGCCAAGGACAAGGTGCAAAAAACMCGCAAGCAAGACATAAAAATAACAAAAAAACATTTTGCGCATTTGCTGGTAAACAGTTTCAGCCTGATGGGTAACTGTCGCTGTTTAATATCGCTTCTATAATTAGCCTAATTATACAGCGGCGTCCGATTGTTATCGGTAGTGCTGGAAAAAAAAAAAAACAATAGATAAAACAGAATGACGATTTTCGAAGCTGTGGAGGGTGTCAAAACCTGAATGTAAAATCACGGAGTGGTCCAGCGCGCAACGTGAACGGTCCATTCATAGATGCTGGAATAATCTGGCCAAACAGTTTGACCTCCGACAGCTCAACAATGAGCGCAACTCCCTCAGCTTCGCCTCCACCCGGGGTGGAGCTGTTCAATGAAACATCAACACTAAAGAAAGGCGTGCCAAGTTACACTAAATGAGAAGAGAATATACAGCGGGTAAAATAMGTTTTGAACACGTCACCATTTTTCTCAGTAAATATATTACTAGAGGTGCTAATGACATGAAATTTTCACCAGATGTCAATAACAACCCAAGTGATCCATACATACAAAGAAATCAAACCATAAATGTCCAGAAATGAAGTTATTTGTAATAATGTGAAATGGCACAGGGAAAAAGTATTGAACACATGAAGAAAGGGAGGTGAAGAAAGGGAGGTGAAAAGAGGCATGGAAAGCCAAGACACCAGCTGAACTCTCTC